TGTTCGCTGATCAAAAACCCATGGGATAAAAATCAGGCCAGGGGCGAACGATGGAAGGAGGAACGGACAACGGAGGAGAGAAGAAAAGGAGGAGCAGAGGAGAAAGAAGAAGAGAGAAGGAGAGGAGCGGGAGCAGGAGGAGCAGGAGGAGGAGAAAAAGGAGAAGGGGAGCATAGGAAGAGACATCATCGAAAAACTGCTAGTAGCGAATTCGGCAAAACTTCGAAACTGTGCGCTTCGCATGAGACATCCACAAACACATGATAATGAGGATGATCCGTAGTTCGATGCATGAAATGAAGATCAGAGCTACGATAGGAGCTTTGGAGGGGATAATAAAGTTCGGCCTCCCGCCTGCTGTGGCAATTGAACCACATTCAATCCCATGGATACAGAATTACAAAGGTTTAAGGGGGGATGATTTATTATCCACGGGTTGCGGTTAGTCCGATAGATTGGCCGAACTCTGGCCGCAACGTTCGGCCACATAGGCGCTTCCAAAGGCAGGGGGCGGCGATGATTCGCAGTAGGTGGCTCCGATAGTGAAGAAATTGCAAAACGTTGCTCTGTCATTGACGGTAGGTCTTGGTCTTTGTTTGGGTACCATCGAGGCACGTGTCTGCAGCGTTTTGTAGTCGTAATCAGCGTCCCACCAGATGGTGCATCTGCTTTGTGCATTAGCCGTTCGCCTGTGCACGGCAAAGTTGGTGCTAAACAGGATGCCTGGCAGGCTCCAAGGGGTCCGCGCCAAGTGGTCTTTCGTCTGTTGCGTTCCCCAGTGCTTTGCTAGTCAGGGCAGCCCCTCTGGATATACCTGCTCGCCCGCAGGTCCATCAATGTGCTGAGTCACACTCAGTCCCAGCATCTCTTATTTCCTCCTGTTCCGCCCATGTTCGCCATGGTTCGTCATCGCGCGCCATACGCGGCGCCTGTGCGCGTTCGTATACCACGCGCACCGCACGTTTGAAGCGATGCACAGCTCCAGTGCACATTTCTGCGCTCACATCAGTCATTTTGTTGAATCAAGTAAATATCCCAAGCTCAGAGGAGCCAGAAATGCGCACATTCAACTTTCGTGCGAAACCACATATCAAGCGCCACTCATCTTGGCTTTCAAATCGATGTATCGCAACAGACGCGACCTCTTGCACTGAACACTGTTCGAGCACATGTCTGAAAGTTCTTCGAATGGAACTCTTTCTTGGGAAGTGGAATCCCCCCTGCTTCCAAGCACATGAGGTTGTCAGCAGCGCGGGCTGTAATACAACCTCGTCGAAGTAAATGAGGACGTTTCCATTACGATTTGCCTGCGCCCCAGAAACGGACTGCAAGAGCGCCCACCATTGGGCGCCCGCCGTCGGGCGCTCGGGAGAGGAACGGTATGTTGCCAATTAATGATGTTCCCTAGCAGATGTTCCGTCCGTCTGCGCCCACGCCAGGACGGGCGGTCGAAATGGTACTACCCCACTGGCAAGTGTACGCCACGTCAACCGTCGTCAAAACCAGGGACGGCGAGGTCTCATCTGAGTAAAGCGTCGCTCCGCTGGACCTCCTAGGAGCACACGACAGTGGCGACAGTGTCACACTTCGCAGCACCCAAAAACCCCGAGGTTTCCACTGGTCTGAATAAGACGTCACTCCACTGGACCTCCCAGCAGCCCGCGAAAGTGGCGACAGCTTCGCAGTTCGCAGCCCCGCAGAGACGGCGAGGTAGCAGGCAGAAGGAGGGCAGGCAGGAGAAGAGAAGGACGAGGAGGCATGTGCAGAAATGTGCGGGATGACAACAGCAGAAGTCACCAAGCACCAAGCGAAGCGGAGCGAGGGGAAACACATGGCCACTGTCACCTGACCACTCGCGGCCACCGTGTGGCGTGACGCCTCTGACGAAATACCACACTGGAAACGCCAGAGGCTCTGATACGGTGAGCCCCGCTGCGCCGACCCTGATACTGCGGGCCAGCTGCGCAGCCACAGGAGGGCACAGTGCCACAGCTGTTGAAGAAAGAGGTGGTGCAACGGAATCGCACCCCCGCCCCGCACGAGAGCGGGCGGCTACAGTGCCCGCAAGCCCAAAACGAGCCTCCTTGACATGGTGCCCTTCGGGAAGGAGGTTCAGGAGAAGGAGAAGGAGAAGGAGTCGAGACCACAGTTCTCATTAAAGCGAGAACCCGACACGAGAGAGGCTTAGGACAAAATATTGAAAATCAACGTGAAAATCGAATCCAAACAAAAAAAACAAAGTGATATGACTGCACATCGAACTGAACATCGATCGGCACTCGAAAAGAATGGCGACGTGAACGTATAAGGACTCATCGAAATGCGAATATGCTTACACAGCGTGGCAAACAGCAAGAGCATGGAAATGCACATCGAACGCGATACCGAAATCCAAACGACCTGTAAAAACGATACATGCGAATGCAGTGGAACAACCACAGCCTGCAAGCCGGCATGCAAAAAACGTGCGCAAACGACATGCACATCGAAATCCGCCGACCCTGTCGGCGTGTGCGAGGGGCTTCCTCTTCCGAATCGTTTTCGTCGTTCGATTGACATCGTTGTGTTTTCGTTGTTCGGATCGTCATCGTTGTCGATTCGACATGAAGTGAACGGCATCATTTCCTCGCCGCTCCCCCTTCTTCCTTCCCCCTTTTTTCTTCTTGGGCCGTACCCTCCTGCCGTCATGCCGTTGTAGATTCGAAGGGAAGCCCCTTCCCTTTGATCCCTTCCCCAGGGGGGGGGGCCGTCCGAGGGGGCCAGGGGAGGGTCCCGGGGGGGGTCCCGGGGAGGTGCGGGCGGTGACGGCCCAAGAGAGAGTCGCCCAAAGATCGGCCGAAGACGCCCAAGATAGCCCCAAGACCGTCCAAGAAGCCTCCAAGACGTCCCAGGCCCCCTCCAAGAGCACCCCCAAGAAGGGCCCAAGAGGCCACACTCATTACTTTTCCATCGGAAACTTACATTTTTAGCATATACGACGTTTCGGCCTTCACGGCGTCACAGACAGCCCGAGAGGACCCCCAAGAAAGCGCCAAGAAAGCTCAAGAGTCTCCCAAGAGGCGCCCAAGACAGCCCAAAAGGGCGCCAAGACGGCCCAATAGGCTCCCAAGACGGCCCAAGAGGGCCCCAAGAGGGACCGAAGACGAGGAGCCCGAACCCCAATATCGACCCTTTCCCCCAAGAAGCTTCCAGGAGGCCCCAAGAGGCCCCGAAGACCCCCAAGATGCCCCCAAGAGACCCCAAGAGGTCCCCAAGAGACCAAAAAAAGCCGCTAAACTGCCCCTCCTCCTTCTCTTCCGCCCTCCTCCTCCTCCTCCTCCTCCTCCTCCTCCTCCTCCTCCTCCTCCTCCTCCTCCCTCTCCTCCTCGTTCCTTCTGCCTCCTCCTCCTCCTCCTCCTTATCCTCCTCCTCCTCCTTCTGCCCCTCCCCTTCCTCCTCCTCAATAAAAACATTCAAAAAGCACTCGAACATCATCCAGCCCAGACGGGGGACCCGAACGGATATTTCGATCCCTCGGCCTGAGAAGCTCTCAGGAAGGCCCTAGAGGCCCCTAAGAAGCCTCCCAAGAGGCCCCAAGAGACCCCCAAGAAACACCCAGGAAGCCGCAAGATGCCCCAACGAGGCTCCTAACCGGCTCCCGAGAGCTTGCCAGGAGGCCCCCAAACTACCCCCAAGAGGCCCTCAAGAGCGCTCGTCGTCGTCGTCGTCATTCAGGGTCGGCGGCACCGGCCGTAAGGCCTTCGCAATACAAACCGAAGCGCAAAGCTGTATGTAAGCTCCTTCCTCCCTCCCCCCCTCATTCTCCTGATCCCCTGCAGGGGTGTGCCTATGACGTCTGCAACGACGAAGGGCACGGGGAGGAGACGCCCGCGGCCCCAGTACGGGCGAAAACTCGGAGGAGGGGCAGCGGAGCCTCGTGGGCCTTCGCCGCGGGCGGCCCTTTGAAGCTACGGCGTTGCCTGAACGCTGAAAAACGACCCCCGCCTCCCACATGAGGAACTTTAGACCAAGGGGACAGTCAAACGACGTGCGAACGGCAAGCGGAAACTGCTCGACGGTCAGCCAACGACAACGCCGCGCAATTCAACGCGAACGGCGCGCTGCTGCCAGACGACGTCGCCGCGCCCGCGGCCAACTCCGAGAGGCGGGGCAGCAAGGCGAGACGGCGGCGGAGGACCCGGGCCGTCCCAGCGTCAGGTCCGCACCCCTGCGAGGAACTACGCACGGAGGCAGAGCGCCCACGGTGAAGACACCGAGGGCAGCCCGTGCTGAGAAAGTAATGACGATGATGTTCAGGAAGAAGACGAAAAGGAACGAACGCATGAACGAACGAACTACCTTCTGTCGGCGGCCACTCGGATCCAAGCAGCGATAGGGCGACGGTGGAACACAACGAAGCACATTCATGCGCAGACAGGGGAGGGCCGAACGAACGAACACAAGAACGGACAAGTGTCTCGACCTACTTGAGACCAGGTGGGCGAGGCCGTAGCCCTCCAGATGCTGTGGCGTATGTGAGGAAACGCGTGCGAGGCGTATGAAAGAGATATGTGAGACGAAGAGGAGGGAAAAGTGGGAGAGGAGGGAGAGGGAGACATGAACTTGCGGGATGCGGGACCAGGAACGAACGAACGACCACCGCTGCGGACAAGCGCCCGGGCCTAGCTCAGACCAGGTGGGTGAAGCCGCGGCCTCTGGATTCTGGCGTGTCTAGACTCATGAACTGCGAGACGTTAAACAAATATAGGAGACGAGGGGGAGGAAGAGGATGAGGAGGAGGACGAGGTCTTTGGTGTCGGCGTAGGCGCGTGTGTAGTCTCGATGACTCGACATTGGTTTGGGATGACTGTTCAAATGGGGTCGGTGCACTGGTGCTCGAGCGTCGTCCAACTAGCGGTCTCGGGCCAGCGCGCACCCACGTGGGACGAAAGAAGGAAGAAAGAAGCGGAGGCGAGCAAACGCGCAAAACCAGTGCTCGGGGCCTGCCCCACGGGCCCCTC